TTTTGGCGCTCCGCGCTGGATTTCTTAGATCCGCGCTGGGCCCCCCCCCTGGCGGCGCCACTGGCGCCACCCGTGGCGCGCTCCGCGCGCCAGGGAGGGGGGGCCCAGCGTAGATCCAAGAAATCCAGCGTGGAGCGCCAAAGGTTTCATGTTGAGTCGGGCGTGTCCCTCGACAGGAGGAGTATTTAAAAATCGTCAAAAATAGTCTGGGTACGATGTTTCGATTCATGTTTTGGGCTATTTGGGAAAGGGTTCTGACTATGTTTTACTTCTCGTCCGAAATCCGCCTGTAGGTGGACACGCCCGGCTTAAGTTTGATGTTTGTGGCGTTCCTTCGTCTCCTCAGGACGTGCTCCTACGAGCACTCCAAGATCGGGGAGCTGGTGCGGGGCCTGTGGCCCGGGGAGGCGCACCCGGACGGCCTCTGCCGCACCCTGCGCTTCCTCAGCGACAGCGCCAAGCAGGACTTCTTGCTGCGGCCCACCAGGATTAATCTAGGGCTCCTAGGTGGGGCAGGTTAGGGGGCCACATGCGAACCCTACCCCTACCCCCCACTATTTCTGAGGGGGAGGGTGGGGTTCACTTCGTTCGGGAGGTCACAAGCGAAGTGAACCCCACCCTCCCCCTCAAGAAATCGTGGGGGGGTAGGGGTAGGGTTCGCATGGTGGCCCAGGAATGGGGTCGAGGATCGCGCCGCGTCGCCGGTGCATCGCCGATGCGGCTCGATGCGGAGCCCGATTTCCTCCGCGTGGAGGTCGCCGATGCATCATCCGTTTCGACGATGCATCGCCCGGGCATCCCCGATGTATCGGCGATGCGGCGCGATCCTCCGACCCCATCTACTCCGACCCCATCAAGGAGGCCTCTCATTAAGTCGGGCCTGTCCCTCAGGAGGAATATTCCAAAACAGTCTACAAAAAATAGCCAGGGGAAGATTTTTCGATTTTTGTTTTGAGTGTTATTTCTGAGTATTGTTTGACTTTTTTCATTCATCGTCCAAAATCCCCCTGTAGGAGGACATGCCCGACTTAACACCAGGAGGGGGATCCTCGTGCGGGCGGACTTCGCGCGGGCGCTGGTGGAGCCCGACCGCGCGGTGTTCCTGTCGGGGCGGGGCGCGTTCTTCGAGTCGTTCAAGGAGGAGCTGCTGGAGCACATCGGAGGCTCGGGGCGCCCGTTCACCGAGGAGTACACGTTCAGCTCCTTCGTGGTGGAGTCCATCGTCTGCGCCACGGTGACCATGCTCACCCTGCGCCTGCAGGTGCTGAAGCCCGTGGCCGAGAACATCCTCGGCCAGATCCGGCTGCAGAGCCCAGACTCCATAGGCCCCCGGAGACCAGGACACAGATAAACCAGGACACGGAAAACCAAGGAAACGACATCCTTTCCTGCAAAGTCACGTTTTTCAGCACCCATTCATGTTTTGTTTGCTGCACTGCAGGATTCGGGATTGTGTCCAGGTTTAGGGGGTTCTTGCAGGCTTTTGAGGCTTGTGTCCGGGTTTATTCTGGAAATGCTGCAGTGCAGTACTTTGTGCGTGCCGCCGTTTGGAAAAATCGGTTTCGAGGGATATTGGGTGTCCGGGTCTAGCGTGTCCGGGTCTACGGGGCCCTGCCCATCTTGCAGCTCTACCCCGTGAAGCTGGCCCTCTCGTCCTTCGTGGAGCAGGTCCGGCCGCTCGTGCAGGGGCTGAACGGCATGCTGCAGGACCTCGGCGTGGAGGGCACCGCCGCCGCGGCCGGGCCCCTCGCCCACCGGCCCTCGTGGAACCGGAAGCTCTCCGAGACGACGGACGTCGTCGCGTGCCCCGAGCAGCTGCCGGCGGGGCTCGAGGACTGCCTGCACAACTGGGCCCACAGTGCCGAGGAGGTCATGGCGGATGCCTGCGAGACCAACGTGACGATCGAGGACACCATGCGCTTCCTCGAGGCCTCGATGAGCTGCACCAGGAACCGGCTCCTCATGTTCGAGGTCTGGACCATGATCGCGACGGTGGCGATGGGATTGGGCGCAATGATCTCCGGCATCTTCGGGATGAACCTGAAGAGCGGCCTCGAGGACGCTCCAGAGATGTTTGACCGGGTGGTGCTGCTCATCATGCTGTTAGCGTTCCTTATCGTCACTGTGTCCGTGGGGTTCATATCGGGGAACGAAAAAGGACGTAAACATAAAAACTCGGAGGTCCGCGCGGACTTCTCGGATCCGCGCTGGACCCCCCTGGCGGCGCGCGCCAGGGAGGGGGGTCCAGCGCGGATCCGAGAACTTCCGCGCGGACCTCCGAGTTTTTATGTTTACGTCAGTATTTCTTCCCTTGTCATCGTCTTCAGCCAGAGGAAGTATCAGAACCACGCGGCGCGCTTCGGCAACAACCGGTTCTTCAAGGTGATCGTTTTTTTATTCAGTGTTTTCCGATCGGCGCGGGCCCCCCCCCCCTATGGAGTAGATCTTGGCTGCTCTTTGGTGCCCGTGTCGAGCAGGTGGTGTCCCCCCCAGAGGCCGCACTGCTGCAAACAGGGGCGATAAGCAGAGATCCAGAGTCCGACCCCCCCCCCTCCCCCCCCCTTCCGCCCAATGTCGAACCCAGAGATCCGATGTCGTGAGTTTTTCAGTGCGCGGTCCCCGGAAGGCCCGACCCATTCCCCAGGACCAGTTCTTCATCCTGAGCCGTCCTTTGACGGTCCCGGCGGCCCGGCGAGGGCCCTTCGAGGCCGAAAAGTGCGAAAAACTTGCGTCTTGATGTTTTCAGTGCGTTGGATCTCTGGGAAACGCCGCCCTGACTCCGGATCCGCCCTACTTTGGGGAAATTCGTTAAGTAGGGCTTGGAATTTCCGCCTTACTTTTTCAAGCCCCGCTGATGCCAATTTCCGCTCTACTTTTCTGTTGTTGTTCCCGCCCTACTTCTGTGGATGTTCGCCCTAGTTTATGCTGGGTGCAGACATTTCCGCCCTACTTGTTCGGCTTCTTATAGGTGGACTTCCGACGCAGTTTTGATTTGGGGAAAAAAGCCAAAGCAGGGCGGATCTGGAGTCAGGGCATTCCCCAGGACCGGTTTCTCATCCTGAGCCGTTCTCTGACGGCCCCGGGGGCCCGGCGAGGGCCCCTCGAGGCCGAAAATTGCAAAAAAAACAAAAAAACTGCGTCTTGACGTTTTCAATGCGTTGGATCTCTGGGAAACGCCGCATAAAAAAAAAACGCCGACCAGTCCATCGCCGACGACGAGTACGTCCTGTCGCTGTGCTCCCGGCCCGGCGGCTCGGCCCTGCCGGAGGTGCAGCTCGACGACGTGCTGCGCGAGCTGCGCTGCCCCGCGCTGCCGGCGTCGGAGCCCCTCGCGGCGCAGCGCCAGGCCTTGCGTCCTCCTCCTCCTCCTCCTCCTCGTGATCCTCCTCCTCCTGCTCCTCCTCCTCCTCCTCCCTCCTCCTCCTCCTCCTCCTCCTCCTCCTCCTCCACCTCCTCTTCCTCCTCCTCCTGATCCTCCTCCTGCTCCTCCTCCTCCCCCTCCTCCTCCTCCTCCTCCTCCTCCTCCTCCTCCTCGTCGGGCACGTCCCTCTACACTTTCGGGTATGACCAGGACCCCAGGCAAGGGGACCCGGTGAGTGGTGGGGCCCTGGAGCCCTTGCATTGACCAGAGTCACTGAACCAGGTTTGCCGTATAGGTGGTGCTTTTCGGGTGACGGCGGTTCCGGTCAGTGGAACGGGGCGGGGGGTCCCCCAAGACACATCACTAAACCAGGTCCCATTAAACCCAGTTCTGCCAACGCCCGACTTACGTCGGGCAAGTCCCTCTACACATTGTGGAGGACGATCAATGGAGAGGAAGCATGCTGCCAAATAATCTCCATATGTCTAAAACATGTGTCAAACATGTCTTAAACATGTAAACCAACATGCTTACAGTATGCTTAGAACATGTTTCCAACATGTTAAACACATGTTAAATTCAATGATAAGACTGTTTGAGTGTCCATTGTCGTGGCATCCACAACTCTACACATCGTTCATTTCTAATGTTTCGAAAATGCTTGGTTTTTCTGGGGGCCAAGATCCTTCGTTTCTAATTGTTCTATCCTGGGCCTCTTCCTGGCCGCCAGGGGGGCCAGGAACAGTTAGAAGCGAACACAAGTAGAAATGAGCACGACTAGAAATGAACGACGTGTACAGGAGGAAATTCAAAGGTAATCAAACAACATAGTCAGGCGACGATTTGGGACTCTCTGTTTGAGCCTTGTTTGAACACATGTTTTGACTCTCTTTTGAATTTTTCGCCCAACATCCGCCTGTAGGGGGACGCGGCGCCACGTGCGCGACGCGAAAAAACGGGGCCGCCTGCGCCGACACTGGCAGCGCAAGCTGCCCGCGCTGGCGGCCCGCGTGAGCCACCGCGTACGATCGCTGGGCCATCTCGCGCAAGACCCTCCCCGAGCGCGTTCCGCGACTCGCAAGGTGCCCACTCGCAAGCGCCCAAACAAAACACACGCCTGCTTCGGTGCCACCTCTCGCAGATCCCCCCCCGGCGGATCCAGGCCATCTGCGAGCAGTCACTTTGCGAGTAGCGGAACGCGCTCGTCCAGACCCGCCCCTCCTCGTCGCTCAGGTCACGCCCGGCTCCCGGCACTCGCTGTCCTTCCGCGGCGCGCCGCCGCCCCAGCCGCAGCAGCTGGACTGACCCGCGGGCAGTGGGGCGCCGGCGCCCGCCGCTCCGCCTCGCTCGGAGGAAGCGTCGGGGACAGGTCCAGGACTCGACCATGCTCAGGCCATCCAACGTCTTGACAAAAATCAAGACGCAGGTTTTTCGCAATTTTCGGCCTCTAGGGGCCCTCGCCGGGCCCCCGGAGCCGTCAAGAAACAGCTCAGGATGAAAAACCGGTCCTGGGGAATGGGTCGAGACTTCGGGCGACCGGGCATCGAAAAAATCACGACGTCAGCTCTCTGGGAACATGGATTTAAGGGGGCGTGGATTAGCGACGGGTCCCGATTCCATGGGAAATCGTGGATTCCAGCCGCCGAACGAGGCGGCACCAGCCGCATTTTGGGAGGGCCCCTCCCCAGATCCTCGGACTTGGCGACCGCTCGCCAAATCCATGGACCGCTAATCCATGCTTGCGCGCCCCCTATATACGCCGGAACTCGGGTTGGCCGACGCTGTTTGAGGAGCGCGTCCTGGGTTTTGACGGTCCAGTTTCCGTTGGGCTTCTGCAGCGAGAGCTCGAGTCGCATGTCAGCTTCGGCCTCGTCGTCTTCACGATGGCCTCGTCGGGCCAGCTCGGGTCCCCGTGCCCGAGTCTTGCTGCACTCTCCCCGAGGGCACTCTCGGAGCTCCGCGCGGATTCCTCTTGGATTGGCGCCGGTCCCTCCTGGCGCCGCCCCCGGCGCCGCCCCTGGCGCGCTCCACGCGCCAGGGAGGGGTGCTCCAGTACATGGACATTCTATTCGAGCCCTGTGGCCCAAGATGCCCCCGAGACCCCCCGAAACTAATATGGACGGCGTGGCGACGGGGGGGGTGCGTGAGCGGACAGAAATATCCGAACACCACCAAAGCACCGCCTCTGCTGAGATCAACGCTGACGTCGGGGGCGCGGGGGGGATGTAGAATCTCCCTCGAATGTGTAAGGGTTCGAATCGATTGTCCGTGTGCGGTCCCGCGCCGATCCCCACAGGGAGTCTCCGCGCGAAGCCCCGAAAAATACCAGACGCCTGCCCCGTGCTCTCCCTCCGCTGCCGCCCCCCGCTTGTCGGCGGCGACCCCCCGCGGGGGGGGGGCGGGGGGCGGGGCCCGACCCGAACCATGCGTTGGCGATCTCGTGGGCCGTGCCCGCTGTGATTTTCGGAGGCGGATATACCTCCTGCCCTGACACGTCGATTAGCGAATTGGCCGTTTTCGGTTCGCGAGGGGGCGTCGCGGCCGTCATGTCTGCGGGCCCAGGTCCGCCGGTTTCGGTCCCAGGCCGTTTTCACAAAGGGGAGGTTTACCAAAGGGCCGAGAATTCGCTTTGCGGCGGAGGCGCATGCGAAGAGGGTACGGGACGTGAAAAAGACCACAGCCACTGCTTTTCTTTTGTTGCCGCCTTCCAGCCAGCGGCAACAAAGCAGTGGTTGTGGTCATTTTCGTTAACCTTGGCACCAGGGAAATGACCAGAACCACCGCCTCTTTTTCGGCCGGCTGGAAGGCGGCGCAAACAAGAAGCAGTGGCTGTGGTCATTTCCCCGTCCCGCAGAGGGACAGCGGGCGCGCAAACGAAAAGCACTGTTCGGGTCGATCCCCGCCCGAGGACACGGAGCACTCCCCTCGAGAGGCCAGAGGGCCTCCCGCGAGGCCCCGCCGCCTCCCGCGAGGGCCCGCTCGCTCTTCGCTCTGCGCGCCGCCGCTCCTGCTAGGGGGCCGCATGCGAACCCTACCCCCCGCCCCCCACGAGTTCTGAGGGGAAGGGTGGGGTTCACTTCGCTCGGGAGCTCCCGAGCGAAGTGAACCCCACCCTCCCCATCCGAAATCGTGGGGGGTGGGGGTAGGGTTCGCATCTGGCCCCCCTACCTGCCCCAGACGCCGCTGCGGCTGCCGCGGCGCCGTCTTTTTTGAGGCGCGGGCGGTCGGCCAGACGAGGGAAGGGCACCCATGCCATGCCTGCACGGGCGAGGCCGATCAGCAGGTCGGCCCTGCCAGGTCAAGGGTACCCTTTGTGTCCCGAGATTGCCGAGCCGTGCCTTCCTGCATTCCCGTGGCAGCGTGGCCTCGGAGGGGTCTCGTGTCCTCTCGCGCGTCCTCCCCAATCAACCCCGACTGTACTACCCTTCGACCGCTTTCCCCCTTTTGGGCCTCCAGGAGGCCTCTCCTGCTCCTCCTCCTCCTCCTCCTGCTCCTCCTCCTCCTCCTCCTCCTCCTCCTCCTCCTCCTCCTCCTCCTCTCCTCCCCCCCTCGGGGCGGGGGCAACCCCTTCTCTTGAGTTCAGAGGTGGACAAGGTACCCACACCTCGACCCTCTCCTCGTTTCCCCTCTTTCTGGGCCTCCGGGGAGGCCCTCGTCGCCACCGCCGGACTCGCCTCGAACCCCTGGTCAGAACGCGCCCCGGGGGGAGGTCCGGGTAGCACGGTCGAGGTGGATCAGAAGGCCAACCCTGCCCGAACAAGGGATAGCCCTCGTGCCCTGCGTGTCGCGACCCATGCCCTCCACGTTCCACTGGCAGGTGATCGTTTTGTACTCATTGTTTTGCCGATCGGCGCGGGCCCCCACCCCACCCCCTCCCCACCCACATGGAGTAGATCTTGGCTGTCTTGGGGCGCCAGTTTCGAGCAGGTGGAGTCTCCCCTCCTGGGACCCAGCGCTGCAACCGGTCGCCCTGGGCAGAGGTCCGGAGCCAGACCCCCCTCCTCCCCCTGCCTTCCGCCCAATGCCGAGACGCCGAATCACAAAACGCTCACACCGATGCGGCCGGCCATCGGGAGGGTCCTGTGTCCTCTCGCGTGTCCTCTCCAACCCCCCCCCCCGACTGCAGCGGCAGCGGTGCCTTTCGGATCTCCCCAGCTGCAGCTGCCGCAGCGCCGCCTTTTTGTTGAGGCGCGGGCGGTCGTCGCAGGCCTCGAGGTGGACACCAGCACCAGCATCGGCGGCGTGCCTCCACGGAGGGAAGAGGATCCCGATCTCGGTGATGGTGGTAAGTTATGTTGGCTGCCAAGGTGGCCGAAATGGTACCACCCACCCCGAACTCCTCTCCTCCTCCTCCTCCTCTCCTCCTCCTTCTCCTTTTCTCCCCCTGGGAGAAGGAGGAGAAAAGGAGGAGGAGGAGGAGGAGGAGGAGGAGGAGGAGGAGGAGGAGGAGGAGGAGAGGAGGAGGAGGAGGAGGAGGAGGAGGAGGAGAGGGATCGTCTCCCCCCTGTGGAGGGCTCCCCCCCTCTGTGCTGGGCGTTGGTGCCCCTTGCCAGGCCTCCGAGGTCGGCGCTACCGGCGGGCGGCCCCCGGGACTCGGCCGGCCGATCGCGAGGCGGGCCGTCGGCGCAGCCGGGGGGGGGCGGGGGCGGCAGAGGTCGACCAGAAGCCAGAGGCTCAAAGCTCCCCCCATCGGCCAACTCCTGACGTTGCCCCTCCTCCTCCTCCTCCTCCCTCCTCCCTCCTCCTCCTCCTCTCCTCCTCCCCTCCTCCTCCTCCCTCCTCCCCCTCCTCCTCCTCCCCCTCCTCCCCCTCCTCCTCCTTCTCCTCCTCCTCCTCCTCCTCCTCCTCCTCCTCCTCCTCCTCCTCGTCGTTCTCATCCGCCTCAGCCAGAAACCTCAGTGCTATGGAGGTAAGTCGGGCGTGTCCCTCTACGGGAGGAATCTTCGGGGAGCGGCGGAGCTCCCGGGGTGCCAAAACCCGAGGAGGGGCCGGTATGCCTGGGGCAGCCGTGTTCGTGATCGAGGCCTCCGGCAGGACTCGAAGAAGAAGAAGAAGAAGACGCGCCACGAACGTGAGCTTAAGTCGGGCCTGTTCCTCTACAGGAGGAATATATCCAAGAATCGCCAAAACACAGTCTGGGGACGATTTTCTTTTCCGTTTTTTTGAATCTTGGAGTCTGTTGTGAGCATCTCGAATTTGTCTTCCAAACTTTGCCTGTAAGTGGGCATGCCCGACCAAAAACCGGGCGTCACCACCCAACACACGGCCCTCCACGATACGCTACGGCCCATCCAGGGCCGCAGCGCATACCACGCAAAAGCCCACGCCAGCTCTCCTGATATACAGTCAGCCCGCATAGTAAGGATGGGCAACCTTCCCACGGGTACCCTTGCGCCCTTGCCCCGTCGGCCCATGCTTAGCGACTTTCGCTGGCCAGCCTCATTCGAAAAACGTGAACATCAGCCTCCAAGGCCCTTGCATCCTTACCGCGCATCCTTATGATACGGGTTGACTGCACGCCAAGCCCCGTGGGGCCGTAGGTGGGGTGGTGTCGTTGATTTTCTGGCCCAGTGTGGGGGGCAACAGAGGAGCGGCGCAAGAAAACGGGATCGACTGCGCCGACATTCGCGCGTAAGCTTTCGCGGCGCGCACAGGGGGGGGTAGGGGGAGGGGGGAAGCCTTCTCAGAAGGAGGCTGCTTATTGGAAGGCGCGGGTCTTGTCTGTAGATGTAGGGCCGTCGCCTTCTAAGAAGCGGCCTCCTTCTAAGAAGCCTTCCCCCTCCCTTTACCCCCTGGTGCACGCCGCCAAAAGCTGCCCGCGCAAGGTCGCGCGTGAGCGCCCTCGTTTCCAGTGTGGCGTGCCCCGCCAGCGGACCTCGTCAGCCACGGCGCACCAGGTCGCTATGCCATCTCGCGTGAGACCCGTTTCTCTTCGTTGCTCAGACGGGGCGCGAAGAAAGGTGCACCTTTTGCACACCGTGGAGGCCCAAAAGGGCCCCCCCCTTCAGGCGATCGCAGACATGGATCCAGGGGGCGTGGATTAGCGACGGGTCCCGTTCCCATGGGAAATCGCAGATCTCCACCGCCGAACGGGGCGGCACCAGCCGCGCTCTGGGGAGGGGCCCTCCCCCGATCCATGGATCTGGCGACCGCGCGCCGAATCCACGGATCGCCGATCCATGCTTGCGCGCCCCCCTGGGGCTCGAGATTGGCACGAGAGGTGCGCGGCGCTTCGCCCGCCCGCTTGTCGCCCCCCCCCCCACCCTCGTGGAGCGGCGAGTCCAGGCGAGGGGCCCGCCCGAGAGGCGCGAGCGAGAGTGGTACTCTCGAGCCCAGGGCACTTGTCGGCTTCAGCGCCGAGGTGCCGCCGTTTGATCGGGGCGCTCACGTAACGGGGGTCAGCGCTAATTTCAAGTCGGGCTTGTCCCTCTACAGGAGGAGTATTCAAAGATAGTTCAGATAGAATAGTCCGGGGATTCTTTCCGCGCGTGATTATTGTTGACCATTTGGGGGCTTTTTTTGGAGTACTCTTTTACTTTGTCGTCCAAAATCCGCCGCTGACGGGGGTCAGCCAATCCCCTCTGGCCGACCTGGGTTTGGGAGCCCCGGGGGGCCGATCCCCCCCCCCTTCTCCGCTCCTTCCGCTAGCCTGGGTCCAGGAGCTACTACAGTGGGGGCCCATACCAAGAAACACCCTGCTTGCCTCCAGGGTGCCCTGGGTTTCTTTAGTTTCGATGGCTTTGCTATAGGAAGGGTGACGTTCCCACACCAAAAATCGATGGACGTCCTGGGGTCTCAGGGTTGGGTTTCTTGCGGAAGGTTTCTTGTGGTCGGGCCCCTACATACTGTAAGTACTAAGCCCCCGACCGAGCTGCTCGACGGGGCCCTGGCATACCCGGGTCTGTGGCGACCTGGGCTGGTGCGTGCCGATTCGAGTCGGGGCCCCCTCACAAAGGGGACTCTTTGACACGACTCGCCGATCCCCCTTTCTCCGCTCCCCGCGAACCTGGGTCGGGGAGCTACTCAGCGGCCGGCCGAGCTTCTCGACGGGGCCCTGGCCGACCCGGGTCTGTGGCGACCTGGGCCGCTGCGTGCCGATTCGAGTCGGGGCCCCCTCACAACGGGGACTCTTTGACACGACAGGATTCGCTGGCGCGCCCGAGAACACGTCTTGGTCCGCACACACACACACACACACACACACACACACACACACACACACACACACACACACACACACACACACACACACACACACACACACACACACACACACACACCACACACACACACACACACACACACACACACACACACACACACACACACACACACACACACACACACACACACACACACACACACACACACACGATTTAGGGGTCCCCGTTTGCTATGATGTTCCAACCTGTCTTAGCTTGGACCACCAGAAAGAACGTCGAGCACCACGAGAACACCGATGCTGGAGGGTTCTCACGCGTCGGGCCCTTTCGGGCGACGCTCGCTCGACCCTGCCTCGACCCTGCCTCGACACTTTCCTGGGATGCGGTCCCCAAGTTTACCAGTTCGAAACATATCCCTATCCCTATGTTTGATATCATCTTACCTCGGTGCCGATCTTGAGAAATCCCTCAGTTTCTGAGGGCCTGTCCCGAAGATTGTCCTCGCTTTTGGCTCGCCCATCTCAGGGATAGGGACACGTTCGAGGCTGGTTATAAGTACGATGGGAGCAGCATGACCCGATTGATGGAGCCCTCTTGCCCCCCACCCCTCCCGCTGCGCCCGGGCCGCCTCGGAAGCAGTCGCTTTTCTGGCGGCACTCCGGCGTGCCCCTGCCTGCGGCGGCGGGCCGCGGCGGTTGGCCGCGGCGCGCGGCCGCCCCGTGCGGAGGCGCGCCGGCGCGGCGCCGTGAGAAGGTGCTCCTCGTTTCTCTCAGGGGCAGCGATAGGGGGGGATGGGCATGGGGGGAGGGGGGGGGCGCATCGACCCCCCATCGCCCACTGATCGCCGACGGGAGCCCGATAGCCCCAACCCGCCCAGGAGGGTGCAGATTCACCATCGGAGGCCGATCGCCGATCATCGCCGATTCCAGGTCGATGCATCCCCCCCTGTGCCAGTCTCCTCTATCGTTGCCCTGAGTTTCAAGCAGTGGCGAAGCGTCCTTGCTCGCCTATAGGGCCACCAAAGTAGAGGTTCTAAGAACTTCACATATCGGGTTTATTGTTTTTGTTTTTAGGACATTTGGGGGTTCCAAGGACATGTCGTTGTAGGCCTATAGGAATGTCGGGACGGTCGGTCCCTGCTCAATCGTTTCTCCTCCTCGCCCTCCTGCTACGCCTCCAGCTCTCCGTCCCTTCTCCTCGCACTCCCTCGTCTCCTGGCTTCCGTCCCGGCCCGAGCCCTTTGGGTGCAGGCCCAGGACCTGCGAAGCCTGTCGGGACTGCCGCCGGACGCGCCGACCAGCATCACACCGCGTCAGGCCGGCCGTGCCCCCATTCAAGGACGGTCGACTGCCGCGTGGCGCCATCCAGAGCCAGCGTGGCACCGACGCCAGAGGGCTTACTCCTCCTCCTCCTCCTCCTCCTCCTCCTCCTCCTCGCCCTGCTCCTCCTGCTCCAGCCGCCCTCTGCCAACGTCGCCTTCGCCGCGGCCCAAGCGTGCTATCCTTCTCTCGTCCCCCACCGCGTCGCGCGCGGCTCATGTCATCGTCGTGTTTCCTTGCCGTCGGTGTTAATATGACCCTGCCGATGACCACGCGCAAGTTGTTCCATCGGACCCAACCTTGGACGTCGTCCTCCTCTCCCTCGACGTTGTCGCCATCATCGTCGTCGTTGTCCTCCTCTCCCTCGTCGTCGGCTTCGTCGCTCTCGGCGGCGTCGTCGCCGTCGTCGCCGTCGTTCGGCGGCGAGCGAGGGGGGGAAGTGAGAAGGAGAAGGCCTTTTCAGAAGGCTCGGAAGTCCCCCAGCCTTCTGAGACTGTTTCTCGGCGTTCCCCCGAAGGCACAGAAGACATCTCAGACGGCGCGAGGGCTTCCGAGAAGTCCCGCCGCTTTCTGAGAAGACCTTCTCCTTCTCACTTCCCCCCCTCGCTCGCCACCGATTGAAGCCTTTCCTGTGCCATCAACGCTGGCCCTTTTCCTCCCCCCGCTCTCGGTCTCGCTGACCTCGCCCCCTGCCGTCGCTGCTCCCTTCCTCCCCCCCGCCTGAGCCCACGCTCGTCGGCTCCCCCATGCGGCTTTTCATGTGATCCCTTGTCGAGGATTCACAGGCCCCCTCCCCCCAGATGGGATGGGTCCCATGGATCCACAGGTCCCTCCCCACATGAAATGGGGACGGCGACGACGGCGGCGGCGGCGGCGACGACGACGACGACGACGGCGGCGGCGGCGGCGACGGCGACGACGACGACGACGGCGACGGCGACGACGGCGACGACGACGACGCCGAAGTTGGTTTTTGGGTCGTCCCGTGGCGCCCCGCGGCGGGCCGCCATGCGGCCCGCTGCGTGGCCGCGGGGCGCTGCGCTGGGGCCGCGCGGGGCGGCCCCGCCGCTCGCGCTGCGCGGCGGCCGCGGGCGGCCCGCGCCTCGGCCGGCCTCCCCGCGGCGGCGGCGGGCGCCCGCCCGGCCGCTGCCGCTGCCGCTGCCGCTCGGCGGCGAGCGAGGGAGGAGGAGGAGGAGGAGGAGGAGGAGGAGGAGGAGGAGGAGGAGGAGGAGGGCGGAGGAGGAGGAGGAGGAGGAGGAGGAGGAGGAGGAGGAGGAGGAGGAGGAGAGGAGAGGAGGAGGAGGAGGAGGAGGAGGAGGAGGGGAGGAGGAGGCGGAGGAGGGAGGGCGGAGGAGGAGGAGGAGGAGGAGGAGGAGGAGGAGGAGGAGGAGGAGGAGGAAGAGGAGGAGGAGGAGGAGGAGGAGGAGGGAGGGAGGGAGGAGGGGGGGGAGTCCTTCTCACCTCCCCCCGTCGCTCGCCGCCGGACGGCGGGGCTGGGCAGAGCCGCGCAGCGTGCCGGGGCCGCGGGGGAGGCTGCCGGGGCGGCAGGTACTACAACCCTCGTCAAAATTATCCTCAAAAGTTGCTGGCACGTCATTTCGATTTCGGCGCGCCCCTCAATGTCGACACGCCGCCCCTTCAATGTCGGGGCGAGGGCAAAGACAGTCTGACCGAAGTTGACTCGAAAGTTTGACGTCGACCGACATTGGAGGGGCGGCGCATGCAGGTACCCCGCACTCATCGATACTCGGCCCCAGATCTTCCGATAAGCAGTTCAACCACGTCAGACATGTTTGAGGTTAATTTTGACAAGTGTAGTATGCAGTCGAGGTCGATGGGTAGGTCGACCCTGCCAAATCCAGGGCTTATGATGCTCCAACCTACTTTAGCCTCGATCACCAGGAAGAGTCTCGAGCGCCCAAAAAAGCACCGAGATTCGAGGGTTTTCGCGCGTCGGGCCTTGGGAGACGCTCGTCCGACACTGTTTCGACACTCTTTCGACACTTTTCCGGGTGCTCGAAATGATTTCTGGGATGCGGTCCTCAAGTAGGATGGGAACAGCATGAATCAAGGGTGCCCTCGTGTCCTGTGCTTCGCGACCCATGCCTACTCACCTCCCTGTGGCAGCGATGCCCTCGGAGGGGTCTTGTGCCCTCTCGCCTTGGCATCGCTCGGACGTGTGCATTTTTCCTTCGGCGAGGGCCATCGAGGAGCATCCTTGATCATTTGGCGAAAAAGCCACGCACAAAACCGAACAAAAGCACAGGGAATAGACGTCCGAGCGATGGCCAGTCGCGCGTCCTCTCCCAGCAGCCCCGACGGCACGTCGCCGTCCGACCGAGAGGGGGCGGGGCACGGGGCCGCGGGCCTCCGCGGCGGCGGCCGGGCCCGACGCCGCGGCGGCGCGGCCCGCGCAGAGCGCGGGGGGGGGGGATAGGTCGAGCAGTGGCGAGGCGTCTCGGCTCGCCTACCCTGACTCCAGATCCGCCCTACTTTGGCTTTTTTCCCAACTTAAAATTGCGTCGGAAATCCACCTATAAGAAGCCGAAAACGTCGGGCGGACATTTCTGTACCCAACATAAAAGAGGGCGAGCATCCACAGAAATAGGGCGGAAACAGCAACAGAAAAGCAGGGCGGAAATTGGCATCAGCGGGGCTTGAAAAGTAAGGCGGAAATTCCAAGCCCTACTTACGAAGTTCCCCAAAGTAGGGCGGATCCGGAGTCAGGGTATAGTCTAGGCTTAAGTCGGGCCTGTCCCTCTACAGGAGGAACACTCAAACATAGTCAAAAATAACAGTCTGGGGGCGATTGTATGACAATTTCTGAGTACCTTTGAGCATTTGTTGGCTATTTTTTCGTCCAAAATCCCCCTGTAGGGGGACAGGCCCGACTTAAGTCTAGGCCTCCCAGATGGGGTCGGAGTAGATGGGGTGGGAGGATCGCGCCGCATCGCCGCTGCGTCGGCGATGCGGCTCGATGCGGAGCCCGATTTTCTCCACGCCGACGCCGCCGATGCGTCGCCGATGCATCGCCGATGCATCGCCGAAGCATCGCCGATGTATGGGCGAGGCGGCGCGATCCGCAGGCCCCAGCTACTCAGACCCCATCTAGGAGGCCTGTAGATAGGTCAAGCGGTGGCCAGGCGTCCTGGCTCGCCTGTAGGCCCACCAAAGACTGTTCGAACAACCTGTGGTGGTCTGCGCGACGTGCTCTTGGGGCATGTCCGGCTGGGGCTGTCGTGTTCTTGCACCTCGGGTCTGTGTTCTAAGAATGCGGCGCTTGCTCTTGGAACACCGTCTGGGGGTCTGAGAACATGTCGTGGTAGGCCCACAGGAATGCCGGGACCTCCTCTCTCTTCCTCCCTCCTCCCTCCTCCTCGCTCCTCCTCCCTCCTCCCCCTCCTCCCTCCTCCTCCCTCCTGCTCCTCCTCCCTCCTCCTCCTCCTCCTCCTCCTCCTCCTCCTCCTCCTCCTCCTCCTCCCCACCAAACCACCCGAACCCAACCCGAAGGCCTCAACTTGCCCTCCATTTCCAGTGGGGGTGGGTGGGGAGCATTGAAAAATAACACATGGAACCCGTACCCCCCCCACCCCAAATTCGGGTCGAATTTGGGTCTTCGGGTTGGGTTGGGGTGGCCTGGCAGGTAGTCAGATCTACCACAGCGAGTGAGCAGGCAGTGTGTAGTGATTGGTAAAGAGGGACCGCCAGATCGTGCCCGTGGGGGAGGAGGAGGCGCCGCGCCAACCCCCCCACCGCTGGAGCAGACCCAGCCGGGAGGCAGCGCGCTGAGAGCTCTGTCTGGGGCCCACAGCCCATGGCCCAGGGAGGTGCGATCAGCCACGGGGCTACCGGGGCGGCAGAAGGCGAGTCAGACGGTGAGGGGAAGCGATCAAACGTTCGGAATTGATCGTCGTCCCCCATCTCTTTCTCCTTCTCCAAGGCTGTCCATGACGACGGTTCTCCCGGGCTGCTGCCAAGGCGCGGGGGCCGCCATCAGGGGGCAGGCTCTCTCTCTCGCTCTTTGTATCGCTATTTCATGTGTTGTTTCTTTCTTTCTTTCTCTCTCTCTCTCTCTTTCCACCCACCCTGAGTTCACATGTGTATCATCGCGTCTCCCATCTAGTTACATCACTGCTTTCCCTCTCTCTCTTTCGCCTCAGCCGTTCGGAACGAGCCTTGTACCCAGACCGCGCTCACAGCACCAGGCTCGGCGGCTTCCTCACAAAATTCTAGATACAGCGTGCGATAGTGGGCTTGATTTCAAACAGATCGCAGGTTGGGACTCTCTCGCATCTCGGCTTATTCTGGCTACGCCGTGGCAGCGGGGAGCAGAGGTTCGCGCGCAGTGTCAAGCACCGTGCACGTACATATGTGTTGCATCCAGTGGTGCAGTGAAGCAGCACCACATTTCGAGCTGGGGATCCTCTCTCGTCTTCCCGTCCCTGCCCCTGTTGTCACATCCCTTGCCTTCCCCCCGGCTGAAGCTATCACTTGTTCTCCCGTTGCTCCCACACATCTATACCCTCCTCTTCTGCCCCCTTTGGCTCCTCCTCGCAGCCTGCTGCTCTCCTTCCCTGTCCCCCTCTTCCCAGCCCCTTCTCCCCGCCGTCGCCGCCGCCGCTCGGCCCCCCCACCCCCGGCACCGCTCGGCCGTGTATTTTTTTTTACCTACCTAGGCTCTGCCTAGAAGGGTTCTTACTCTCTGGGCTTAAAGGGGCCGGGCAGTGGAAAGCGCCCTGGGCGGTTCCCCCAGTATCCGCCCCGCGGTTCCCCCAGTTATGTCCCCTCAGTTTAGCGTTGCTTATCTCATCTTAGCTGAGCTTATTTCATCTTAGCTTAGCTTAGCTTCATCTTAGCTCAGGCTTATCTTAGCTTAGCTTACCTTCATCTTAACTTCGCTGAGCTTCAGCATAGCAGAGCACAGCATAGCATAGCGTAGCATAGCACTGCGCAGCACAGCATATCAGAGCATAGCCCAGCATAGCATAGCACAGCGCAGCATAGCATAGCATAGCATAGCATAGCATAGCATAGCATTGCGCAGCACAGCACAGCACAGCATAGCACAGCGCAGCATAGCATAGCATAGCATAGCAGCAAAGTAAATGCAACGCAACAGCAGCGACAGCAAAGCAAAGCACAAGCACAACCAAAGCAAAGCAAAGCAAAGCAAAGCAAAGCAAAAGCAAACGCAAAGCAAAGGAAAGGCAAAGCAACAGCAATGTGCGACAGATGCCGAGCTAGGCTCTGCCTAGAGGGTTAGCTTAGCGTAGCATAGCTTGGCTTAGCATAGCGCAACGCTGCATTCGCATAGCATAGCATAGCATAGCATAGCATACCATAGCCAATCATAGCATATCATATCATAGCGCAGCATAGCATAGCATAGCAAATCATAACATAGCATAGCGTATCTTAACATAGCATAGCACAACATAGCAAATCATAGCTTAGCATAGCACAGCGCAGCATGACATATCATAGTTTAACATAGTATATCATATCATAACATATCAAACCATCGCATATCACAGCGCAGCATAGCATAGCATAGCAAACCTAGCATAGCGCTGCATAGCATGGTATAGCATAGCATATCATAGCATAACAACTAATGCTGCTTTCCTAGGGGCTCCAACTTCTAGGTAGGGTCGCACTGGGGTATTTTTTGTTTTCTCCCCAGCGAGGACCAAGTCGGGCCTGTCCCTCTACAGGGGGAATCTTCAAACATTGTCAAGACAATAGTCTGGGGACTATGTTTTGAGCATTGCTTGACCGCTTTGGCGTGTTTTTTTGAGCATGTTTGATTTTTCGTCGACAATCACCCTGCAGGGGGACAGGCCCGTCTTAACGACAGCCGCACGTCGCAGGGGCGGCCCGAGCGATGGCGAGGCCCCCGCCGCCGCCGCCGCCGCCGCCTGCCGCCAGAGGCCCCCTCGGAGGCTCCCCTGCGCCCCACGCCTGCCGCGGCGCCCGCGGCAGCGGCTCGAGCAGCGGCAGCGGCAGCGCGGGCGCGGAGGCCTTCTTCTTCTTCCTCTTCTTCTTCTTCTTCTTTTTCTTTTTCTTCTTCTTCTTCCTCCTCTTCCTCTTTCTCCTCCTCCTCCTCCCTCCTCCTCCTCCCTGCTCCTCCTCCTCCTCCTCCTCCTCCTCCTCCTCCTCCCCCCCTCGCCTCGGGGCGGGGGCAGCCCCTTCTCCTGAGGAGAAGGTACCCACACCTCGACCCTCTCCTCGTTTTCCCCCTCTTGGGTCTCCTCGGAGGCCCTCGTCGCCGCCGCTGGATTCGCCTCGAAGTTCTAGTCAGAAGGCGCCCTGGGAGAGGTCCGGGGAGTGGCGGTATCGGTACCTTTTGGTTTCCCCATGGGTGGTTGGCGCCCTGGCGCCAGGCGATCGCAAACCTGGATCAAGGGGGGCGTGGATTGGCGACGGGCCCCGCTCCCATGGGGAAGCGCGGACTTCCGCCGCCAAACGTGAGGCGGCACCAGCTGGATCGCCAAGCCATGTTTGCGCGTCACCGATAGTGGAAGGGCCGGTTTCCCGGTGCACGTTTTGGCGGCGAGCGCGGGGGGGGGGGGAAACGAGGAGGAGGAGGCCTTCTCTCGGAAGGCTCGGAAGTCCCCCTGGCCTTCTGACCGAGAAGTTTCCCGAGACTTTCCCGAAGACGCAGAGAGCCTCTCAGAAGGCGAGAGGGCTCCTGAGCAGTCCCGCCGCCTTCTGAGAAGGCCTTCTCCTTCTCACTCTTCCCCTTCTCTCACCACCGAGAGCTGCAAATTGTGAAGACGAGGTTCCCCAGTAGGGTAGCTCCTCAGATTGCCTCCTTTCGTGCAGGTGCTTGGGAGCAGGGGGAAAGCCATGAATCCCTTCAGCGGGATCACCGACAAGTTGGAAAACATATTGCCGAGGGACCAAGCCCTACGGAAACAGTAGTTACGCGTTCGTGCGCATTTTCATTATTTTTGAACGGCGAGTTTACTATCTCTCAGACATGCCTCACGCACGTCGTCATGATGTATGTTGCTTGCCGCGTGTGCGCCTGAGCTGCTTTATTCACGCGGCTTTGGCAGTGTATCCATAATGCGTTACTTGTGCGTCCATTATGTGCCCCGTGTGGCGTGGTTATGTCTGCAAGATGTGTTCCTCCTGTCTTGTTTGTGTACTGCCAGTGTAGTTGTATTCCAGTCGCCCTTACACGACATTGTTAGCCATACTTAGAGATCAGAGTGCTAACGCTGCGGCAGAGGTAGGTCAAGACGGGACCGTACTGACGACACATCTCACATCTCGTACACATTCGTGGCACAACCATCGCGTAGTCAACACGTTCAAACATAATTGACGACACAATGAACACCGTAAGGGCAAAAGTAAGTGATCCGAGCATGTCGCGGCTAGTTCTAACTAATATGTTGGACAGTGGCTAGCTCTAGTTAGTAATTCGAATTGTGATCGTTTGTTGGTGTGGTGGCTGTTTCTTTGCCAAGCCTTGTCACTGTTGAATGTGGATGATGGTGTATTTCCCGGATGTGCAAGACATTCTTACATGTGTGACTATATCGATGTGTTAGGAGGTGCAGCGTAGCTCACTCATAGAACTGTAAATGAGTTTATCAAAAATCGGAGACTGACGCGAATATTGGATTGACGGGGAATCATGGTTCTGCGTTTGGATGTGCAACATTATATTTAATCCTAGCGGGTTCCAGTTACTTCCTCGAGCCAGTGAGTGTTATTTGATATGTAGTGCTTGATGTTTGGAGGTTGGTGTTGGGTGTGCGGTCTACTGTCTGCGGTGTGTGGTGTGCGGTATGCGGTGTGTGGTGTGTGGTGTTTGGTGTTTGGTGCTTGGTGCTTGGTGCTTGTTGCTTGGTGTTTGGTGCTTGGTGCTTGGGTGCGGGTGTTTGGTGTGGTACTGGGTGTTGGGTTGTCGGTGTTGGGTGTGCGGTGTGCAGGGTGTGGTGTGTGGTTTCTTGTTTGTGGTGTGTGGCGTGTGGTGTGCGCTGTGCGGTGTGTTGTATTTAGGAGCGTGCGTCTTGGGCGGGAAGCCCCGCGGCGGAACGCGGGGAAACCTCCGTCGGGGAACCAACCCATCCACCGGGACGCAACCCATCCACATCCATTCACCAGAGAGCTACTTCTTGGCACCTCCACCTCCTCGTCGGCATCGGGTCAGTTGGGCCTCTTGTTTCGTCCTGCGTTGGACCTCCGAGGCCGCCGTGGCGCAGAGGCTGGACAGGCTGGAGAAGCTGTTGGAGGAGCTCTGCCGGGGCAAGGCCGAGATGCGAGCGGAGGCTGGGGGGGAGAGAGTGCCGCGCGATCGTGCACTTCGGCAGGGGCGAGGGGAGCGGATGATGATGAGGAGGAGGAGGAGGAGGAGAAGGAGGATCATGAGGAGCGAGAGGAAGAGTGGGAGGAGGAGGAGGAGGAGGAGGAGGAGGAGGAGGAGGACGACGCGAAAAACTGCACAGGGAGGTGGGGATGAGGAGGATGCAGATCATCGTGTGAGGAGGATAGTGAGCAGGAGGGGGAAGACGACGTGTGCCGGATCTTGCTGCGATATGTCTTGCCTGATGTCTCTGCAGGGGCGGTCAGACATGCGCCGCCCGCCGGGCGGGGAGGCGCGGCGCTGGAGCTCGGGCGGTGGCGACGACGAAGGGAGGCGACGGCGAGATTCATCACCCGCGCTCTTCGCGTCGTGCAGTGGGGGGCGCTGACGAAGGAGCCCTCTTCGTTGGGGAGGGTCTCGGCGTTCCTTAGTTGTTTTGGAGTCTACCTTAGGTGTTCCTCAGGCTTTCGATGATAAGTCGAAGCTTAGCTTAGGGAAACCAAGGGGGCTCGTTCCTTATTTAGGGTTCCTTAGGTCAACGCCCCGATGGTAGCAGCGTGCTGTTGAATATCTTTAGTTTCACTTCAGGCTTGACCCGGTGGGGTCAGCTCGAGCTGAAATGGATACTTTGGATCGTCGTGCCAGCTTCTCATCTAAAGGCTGCCGCCTCTGCCGCCGACCCCAGAACATCCTGCGTGGTGGGCTCGCTGCCTATGTTCGCGAGAGATCACGAACAGCGGGGGGTGGAGGGCGGTGGTGTCCTCGAGCGCTCCTGGGCCGTCTGGCGTCTTCGGTGTTCGGTGGGCTCCGCACGGTTCGGATCAACTTGAGTTCGATTGCTCGCAATACCCCCAAACGCGTTTTTTGGTGTGTTTTTTGTTTAAAAAACAAATCGCAAGCTTGTTTCTGTCTCCAATTCGACCTTGCATTCTACCTCCATGCGGGTCCGACCCCTGTGCCGTGTCAGCAGGGCACTGTACTCGCCCACGGCCGACCAAGGGGCGCCTTGGTCGGCTGTGGGCGAGGCCACAAGAAAAGGAGCTTCCGTGGGCGTGGGTGCCGTAGGGGGGAGGGAGGCGTTGGTCGGTTTGGGGCGAGAAACTGCGCGGTGGGAGGTCCCAAGAACAGAGGTTCCGTGGGCCGGGTTTGCCCTGGGCCAGGAGGGTGGCGTCGGTCGATTTGGGGCGGGAAATTGAAGTGTGGAAGTCCCAGAACGAGGGTTCCGTGGGCGGGGTGCCGTGGCCAGGGAGGGGCGTTGGTCGATTTTGGGCCTGAACTTGTGCGTTGGGGGTCGCAAAAAAGAAGGTTTCCGTGGGTGGGGATGCCGTGGCCAGGAGGAAGACGTAGATCGGTTTTGTGCGAAACATTTTGCGGTGGGGGGTCCCATATCGATTCCGTGGGTGGGGGTGCCGTGGCCAGGGTGGGGGTGTTGGTCGGTTTGGGATTGCGCGGTGGGGTGTCGCCAGATCAGAGGTTCCGTGTGGGGGGGGGGGGGCGTGGCCAGGAGGGGGGGGCGTTGATCGGTTTTGGGAGAGGAATTGTGGGGTGGGGTGTCGCAAGAACAGAGGTTCCGTGGGTGGAGGTCGTGGCCAGGAGAGGGGGCGATGATCGGTTTTTGGCGAGAAATTCTGGGATGGGGGGTCTCAAGAACAGAGGTTCCATGGCTGGGGGTGCCGTGGCCAAGAGAGCGGCGTTGGTCGGTTTTGGGTGAAATCTTGTGCGGTGGGGGGGGGCTCAAGAACAGAGGCTCCGTGGGCGGGGGGGCCATGGCCAAGAGGGGGGGCTTGTTTGGTTTAGGGGGAAAAGTGTGCGGTGGGGGGTCCCCCAAAAATTATGCTACCGAGGAACCCCACATACTTATTTCAGATCCTGCGTGGTCATATCATGTTGCACCAAGCACAGCCTCCTGGCATTGTCGTTCGCCTCTGTGGCGTCGGGGATCTGCAACGCCTGCCACACTTTGCGAGTCCGCAACGGACCAGCCCCAGCGCACCCCCTGTGGTGTCGAGAACGCGCAACGCCTGCCACAATTTGCGAGCCCGAAGCGGATATGGGGGACCACCCCCTGCGCACCCCCCTGTGGTGTCGAGAAGGTGCAACGCCCGCCACACTTTGCGAACCCGCGCCGCATAAGGGCACCACCCCCTGCGCACCCCTTTTGGTGTCGAGAAAATGCAACGCCTGCCACACTTTGCGAGCCCGAAACTGATGGGGGACCACCCCCTGCGCACCCCCTCTGGTGTCGAGAATACGCCGTGCCTGCTGTGCCCTGGACGACCGTCACGGATAGCGGCCGCGGTGAGAGACCACCCCCTGCGCACCCCCTCTGGTGTCGAGAAATATGCCATGCCTGCTGTGCCCTGGACGACCGTCACGGATAGCGGCCGCGGTGAGAGACCACCCCTGCGCACCCCCTCTGGTGTCGAGAATATGCCATGCCTGCTGTGCCCTGGACGACCGTCACGGATAGCGGCCGCGGTGAGAGACCACCCCCTGCGCACCCCCTATGGTGTCGAGAATATGCCATGCCTGCTGTGCCCTGGACGACCGTCACGGATAGCGGCCGCGGTGAGAGACCACCCCCTGCGCACCCCCTCTGGTGTCGAGAATATGCCATGCCTGCTGTGCCCTGGACGACCGTCACGGATAGCGGCCGCGGTGAGAGACCACCCCCTGCGCACCCCCTCTGGTGTCGAGAATATGCCATGCCTGCTGTGCCCTGGACGACCGTCACGGATAGCGGCCGCGGTGAGAGACCACCCCCTGCGCACCCCCTCTGGTGTCGAGAATATGCCATGCCTGCTGTGCCCTGGACGACCGGCACGGATAGCGGCCGCGGTGAGAGACCACCCCCTGCGCACCCCCTATGGTGTCGAGAATATGCCATGCTTGCTGTGCCCTGGACGACCGGCACGGATAGCGGCCGCGGGTGTCAGAGAATATGCCATGCCTGCTGTGCCCTGGACGACCGCACGGATAGCGGCCGCGGTGAGAGACCACCCCCTGCGCACCCCCTCTGGTGTCGAGAATATGCCATGCCTGCTGTGCCCTGGACGACCGGCACGGATAGCGGCCGCGGTGAGAGACCACCCCCTGCGCACCCCCTATGGTGTCGAGAATATGCCATGCCTGCTGTGCCCTGGACGACCGGCACGGATAGCGGCCGCGGTGAGAGACCACCCCTGCGCACCCCCTATGGTGTCGAGAATATGCCATGCCTGCTGTGCCCTGGACGACCGGCACGGATAGCGGCCGTGGTGAGAGACCACCCCCTGCGCACCCCCTATGGTGTCGAGAATATGCCATGCCTGCTGTGCCCTGGACGACCGGCACGGATAGCGGCCGCGGTGAGAGACCACCCCCTGCGCACCCCCTATGGTGTCGAGAATATGCCATGCCTGCTGTGCCCTGGACGACCGGCACGGATAGCGGCCGCGGTAAGAGACCACCCCCTGCGCACCCCCTATGGTGTCGAGAATATGCCATGCCTGCTGTGCCCTGGACGACCGGCACGGATAGCGGCCGCGGTGAGAGACCACCCCCTGCGCACCCCCTATGGTGTCGAGAATATGCCATGCCTGCTGTGCCCTGGACGACCGGCACGGACCGGCACGGATAGCGGCCGCGGTGAGAGACCACCCCCTGCGCACCCCCTATGGTGTCGAGAATATGCCATGCTGCCTGGCCCTGGACGACCGGCACGGATAGCGGCCGCGGTGTGAGAGACCACCCCCTGCGCACCCCCTATGGTGTCGAGAATATGCCATGCCTGCTGTGCCCTGGACGACCGGCACGGATAGCGGCCGCGGTGAGAGACCACCCCCTGCGCACCCCTTATGGTGTCGAGAAAGTGCCACGCCTGCCACGCCCTGCGACCCTGGGGCGGACAGAGACCGCGGTGAGGGACGAGCGAGAAGGAGGAGGTGAGGTGAACGCGGGTGCGACGCGGGTGTAGAGAAAATCAGAACCCCACTTAGAATGTGGGGAACTAAAGTTGTGTGGGCGGGGGTGCCATGGCCAGGGGGAGAGCGTTGGTCGGTGTTGGGCGAGGGTCCCAAAAACAAAGGTTCCGTGGGCGGGGGTGCCGTGGCCAGGAGGGAGGCGCTGGTTGTTTTTTGGTAGAAATTGTGCGGTGGGGGATCCTAAGAACAGAGGTTCCGTGGGCGGGGGTGCCCCTGCCAGGAGGAGGGCGCTGGTCGGTACTGGGAGGGAAAATGTGCGGTGAGGGATCCCAAGGACAGAGGTTCCGTGGGGGCGGGCGTGGCCAGGAGGGGGGCCGTGGTCGGTTCTGGTCGAGAAATTGTGCGATGGGGGCTCCAAAAACAGAGGTTCCGTGGGTGGCGGTGCCGTGGCCAGGAGACGGGCGCTCGTCGGTCTTAGGCGAAAAATTGTATGGTGAGTGGCCCCCAAAACAGAGGTTCTGCGTGTGTGGGGGTGCCGTGGCCAGGAGGGGTTTAAGTGTGCGGTGGGAGGTCCCAAGAACAGAGGCTCCGTGGGCCAGGTTTGCCCTGGGCCAGGAGGTGGGCGTTGGTCGATTTGGGGCGGAAAATTGAAGTGTGGAAGTCCCAGAACGAAGGCTCCGTGGGCGGGGTGCCGTGGCCAGGGAGGGGCGTTGGTCGATTTTGTGCGAGGAGCTGCGCGTTGGGGGTCGCAAGAAGAAAGTTTCCGTGGGTGGGGATGCCGTGGCCAGGAGGAAGACGTGGGTCGGTTTGGGGCGAGAAGTTCTACGGTGGGGAGTCCCAAATCGATTCCGTGGGCGGGGGTGCCGTGGCCAGGATGGGGGTGTTGGTCGGTTTGGGATTACGCGGTGGGGCGTCGCCAGATCAAAGGTTCCGGGGGGGGGGAGGGCGGCGTGACCAGGAGAGGGGGGGGGGGGGGGGCGTTGATCGGTTTTGGTGGAGAATTTGCGGGGTGGGGTGTCGCAAGAACAGAGGTTCCGTGGGTGGAGGCCGTGGCCAGGGGGGG